TGTGTGTGTGTGTGTGTGTGTGTGTGTGTGTGTGTGTGTGTGTGTGTGTGTGTGTGTGTGTGTGTGTGTAAGTAACAGTGCATCTGTAAGCAGCAGTCTACATATAAACATACATGCGATTTAGGATAGATGATTGTCACTGGACGAAGGACAGATGCATCTAGGAACAATCACCTATTCCAAACTACATGTAATTGTAATATGCGAGATTACATGTGGCTGCTGTTACCTTGTCATTTACTCCAATGTGTACAGGAGCCACATCTGGACTGCCGCAGGAATCCCAGAATGCAGCCTTTATTCTGACTGACTACTCTGTGACTGCACTTGCAGTAATAAACTCTGTTAAATTAGGCCTTATGTGATCAATGATCATGTGCCCAGCTGCCCAAGGAGAATAGAAAAAGAAGGGGGGGGGGAGGAGTACCATTTTCTTTAAGAAAATCAAATATTTTCCAGCTAAAACTAAAGAAAACTTGTCATGAGAGAAATAACTATGCAGACTGCCATTCCAAAACTCCTAAAAAATACTACTGGCTTGGCTTCAATACTTTCTGAATCACAGACCTTGAACTAAAGCCGGATCCTCCACCAGGTAACCTGTGGATGTTCAGGGGCCCAGCTACAACCTTCATCCTCCTGGAGGAGGTTACATATGGTCAAAGGTGTAAATCTGCCTGTAGGGAGCACTTGTCAGCCAGCTGGTGCCTGGTGGGGCTATGCCAGTAAACAGAATCCAAATGACGGGGCTTCCCTGGAAATAGGGGAAAAGCCGGTACCATGCCTAAGACCCCATGCTAGCTTAATCCGTCTCCACCTGGAGTGTGAATGCAGCTAGAGAGGGCACAATACTTGATCTGCATTAGTGACTGAAAGCCTTGAAGCCAGTAGGCAATCATAATGACTTTCACCAGGGCAATAGTAGCCTCCATACTTCTCTCATAAGATGTTTCCATTCACATTCCTTTATTAGATCTGAAAATGTTGATCCTCGACATGAGTGAAGGCCAATGTTAACCACATGCTTGGTTGTTTCCACCTCCATGCATAGTGGAGTGTATGTTCTACATTCATTATCATGCCCATGGCAATTATACTTCTCCTCAACCTCTGAACAATGTAACCATTGGAAAGAAATAGTCTCCAGACACAATTCCTGAGCTAGGCAACAAGATGTGATAGGCAGTGCATTTCTTAAGGATTACAGAGCGCTCTTGGTACATAATATGGAGCAGCATGATATACTCTTCCTAAGCGCTCCTAAAATAACACAGACATGCCTAGCAGTTTTCCAGGATCTCCCGCCATAGAAACAAATGGTGGTTAGGAACAGGTTTTCAACAGATTTAGAAAAACAAAAAGTGGAGTTTACACCGAGAACAAACAAAAAAAAAAAAAAAAATGTACAGGGTACCAAAATGATGTAATAAAGGAGACGTTTAGGCCTCGTTCACACCAGATGGAGTGCGTTCTGGTCCGATTCTGGCCAGAACGCACTGCCTTGCATTGCAGTCGGCTCACTTTTTTGTGGGGCAGGAGGGGGCGTGGCTGTCCAAGTGAATGGCACTGGCCACGCCCTCCGGCTGCACAGGATTGCAAGGTACATTATGCCTGGTCCAGTCTGATCACAATAGTGCTTGCAGCATTTTGATTGGACCGGAGGCATAATGTGCCATGCGGCCGAAGGGCGTGGCTACGGTGCCATTCACTTGGACAGCCACGCCCCCTCCTGCCCCTTAAAAAAAAGTGAGCCGGCTGCAATGCGAGGCAGTGCGTTCTGCCCAGAATCGGACCGGAAAGCACTGCTTATGGTGTGAATGAGGCCTTAGTGTTACGACATTGATTTGCATGACATGAAATCCATTGGCTGCTTGTCCGTAGCAACCACTGATTGCACTCCGTTGTTCAAATGCCACGCAGTGCACTCGCTCTCCTGTAGATGCAGAGGCTGAACTTAGCGTCACAGGGATAGGGGGAGGAGAGGGCACTGCACATGGATCGCAATCGCTGAGGGTGAGCAGCCAGGTGGATTTGATGTCCTGCCAATTATCCAGGACTGGACAGTGCAAACAATGTGGGAGTTTTTGAGGCAGGCTTTGGGTGGGTGACAAATGGCCAAAAGGGTATGCCAGCTACAATAAGCAGCATGTTACAAAGCACACAGTGCGTTTTCATCTATTCAGACTGTCTGGTGACCTTTGCATTTAATAAAGCTGCATATAGAAAAGGCATGAAGCCAAAACATACTGAATAATAGATTTGAGGTTTACATAACATGAAACCTGCAATTTAACAGAAATCACATCTCCATATGATGACAATGCTCGTATAAAAAACTGAACTCTATATCTTTAGCATACAATCCACATTTATATCATATTGACTTTCAGGAAATACTACCTTTGAAATGCTCTGGGTTACTATGTGTACATAATACATTAACTTGATTTCTGTCTGCTTTAGACAGATAATAAAAGCATTATAAAATATTCATGCAAGTACTAAGCTCTGTCAGAATCATGATAGCACTGTATGTGGTCCCTGCTCATGAAGTACACTTCTTCCATTACAACTCACCTAGTGCCATCTGGTGTTGAAATCTGAAATGACATTCCATCATTTTGTTCATCACCAACTCTGCTGGAGGGTCTTCACAGATCCAGTGCACTCTATCCGTTCGAAGAAGGTCTCTGTACAAAGCTGGGTGATTGGTACACGGAGCCTTAACAGAAACAAAAGGGGTTAATACATCACATTCATCTCAGACCTTATAAACTGATCCTGAAGGAGGTAAAACAAAAAGGTGATCTCAATATCATATTGTTAACAAAACAAACAAAAAAAAAAGAAAAAAGAAAAAAAAAGGGACAGATCTCAGTATTTCTAACAGGATACAACTGCCTTGACACTGTACTACATGGGAAGAGGAGATAAACCTAAGGAATATTTCCTTAAAAATTTAATTTCTACTGCAGTGGATGCACAGGGTGCAATAAAGCAACACCATTTTTAGACCGCAAATTGAAACAAGAACAAAAACGTACATTTATTGGCATTAAATTACAAAATGTCTTCTGTAGCAATTTGAAGTGCTATATTGATTAAAAAAAAACAAAACAAAAAAAGTGTAGGTTTCCTTTAAGGCTCTCCACTCCTTTAATTTCACTTGCTGTCCCTACCAGTAACACACTTTCTGCCCCATGGTGACCACCCTCATTCACTGTATAGACTATCTATACAAACAAACAAAACATCTTAGATGCCATGAAATAATCATGAAGATCTAGTGAGCAACTGACTAAGCCACCAGGGCATAAGTCCCCAGCAGAGGGGGGGGGGGGGGGGCAGGGGA